TGCTCATAACTGTGCCTGAACTGCAACAGGGAATTGCTGCTTTTTCTTTCCTATTCCTTACTATCGTCATTTTTCCTCTACTTCTTCTGCATATTTGTCACACTCTTGTGACCCTCTATTTCCGGGGTGCCTTGATAGTGGAAGCAGACTGGTGAGCAGAGTAAGCCTGATTCCCTATAAGGACTTCTCTGTTGACATCCACCCCTTGGTGTTCATATGACCTTGTGCAGTAGCAAGCGGCGTAAAACCTTACGGAAACTAAACTGACGTTCTTCGTGTTTCTGCCCCTCAGTCTGGATGTATCGCAGGGAACCTCATGATCAAACACGCCCACCCGGACTTCCCCTCCGATGTCTTCACCTTCTTGGAAGCCGCTGGTGCCAAGGTGGAGATCTATGGTCAGTAACCTCCCTTGTTTTATGCTATGGCAAGATGCCACCTGCAACCTTCCACCTGTCATTACGGCCATGTCCATCCATTAAAGCCCCACCCCTTGCCTCAGCAAGCCTCCATCTATCCTGGTCTTTTCTTTGATAAACATTTCATAAGTTGTAGACCACTGTCAGATTTTACTTTTCAACGTGTGGTAAAGAGGCCTTCTCTTATTTCCCTTTGACTAATCGTCTCTATTTTTGCCTCATGAAACGTCACAACAAGAAATGGAAAGCTGTGAATATATAAATATAAAGCATGCTGACAAACTGAGTTACTTCTCAGATTCAAGCCTGATGGAAATACATACATCATTCTTTTAGCTGAACTTTTTACAATTTATTGGTATGAAATAATAAAAGACAAGTTATAGTTAGAGAATATGACATCAATAGAAATTGTACAGATTCGATCCTAGTGTTGATTCTTGGCCAAAATCTCCATTTGTGGATTGCAAGAAGTAACTCATTTTGTCAGCATGCCTCACAAATACTTTAGTTTTAGTAAGAGTTTTACGGCACTTGCAACACAATAAGGTCATATAAGTGCCGTAGATTAGAATTGTTACAAGAGAGTAACAAACACAAAAAAGGAGAGATAAGGAGGAAAGATGTTTGATAGGAAAGAAGAACAAATACTTTGCTCAAATTTACCTTAGAAGATTCCATTCCTGTCTCTAACAGATTCAGTTACGTCCAAGTTCAGCTCCTGCCCCCTGGTGGAGTTCCTGCGAGAGGTCAACATGGCAGGAAGTGTGCTGACTGCCGTCACTCTTCCAAAGTTGGAGGACAACGTGGTGTTTCAGTCGTTCAAGATCACCCCAAGGTGGCAGGTAACGGGGGAACTATACTCTGTTTTCTGTGCAGATACAATTTGGTTCTAAAAAGAAAAAAGGCGTTTTTTCAGCTTACAGCAGCACTGTGCACACACTCTTATAATGAGGAAAAATATCTCACTCTTTGTCTCAAGAATTCTGCAACTTTCTTTTAGCCAAATCCTTGTTGTGTTGGTCCTACTTTTCTTGAAATAAGAATTCTAAAATGGGAATTGAAATTCCTGTATTTCATGTTTCAAGTTTTCTACACAGAGAAATAGTTGACCTCTGTGTAATCTTTTTTCTGTTCTTTTCAGAAGTCACAATGTAGCTGGAGTCAAAGCAGTGCTCAAGATTTATAAAAAGAAAAATATCGACCTTCATACTGGGAATTTTTTTTTTTTCAAATGCACGTGTCTACTTCAACGCAGCTTTCAAGATTAGTTTGAAGGAAAATAATTGTGAGGCAGCGTGGTGAAATCAGGCGCTCGTCAAAGTAATGAAATTCAAGAAACCGTCATTTTTCGGCAGTTTGGCAGTTTTTAGCGAATTTTTTATTTTGTGCTCAACACCTGTCATGTCATTGTAAAACCACATTTCCTTGTGAAGTTTATTGAAAAACGTCGTTTATAGGCCCAAAATAGGTAAATTTTCATTTTTCAAGGACTCTCAAGCTATTGAAGTTATCAAACTTTGGTGGCCATTTTCGTGTTTATTTTACCTGTGAATCCAGGCGACCTTCACCTTCTTTATTCACAAATATCTCAACTTGTATTCAAGATAGATGGATTTTTTTCCCACAGAAAGCAAGACAAATAAACAAGCTTTCAGATGATACCAATAACTCCACATGCCCAAAAATTGACGAGTGCCGGAGTCCACCACGTCGTGACACCATTAACTTCAGACTGGGATGGATTTTTTTCAGAATGCACAATGTAGCTGGAGTCAATGCAGTTTTCAAGATTTTTTAAAAGAAAAATAATTGACCTTCATACTGGGATTTATTTTTTTCAGAATGCACACGCCTACGTCAACGCAGCTTTCAAGATTGCTGCAGAAAACCGGACAATAAAAGGCCGACCTTCGCTGGTGTATGGAGGCATCAATGCCGAAACTGTGAGTACAGGATCACACACTGCCTGCTTATTTCTGTTTGTGTTTGTGTGTGTGTGTGTGTGTGTGTGTGTGTGTGTGTGTGTGTGTGTGTGTGTGTGAGTGTTTGTGTTTGTGTGTGTGTGTGTGTGTGTGTGTGTGAGTGCTTGTGTGTGTGTGTGTGTGTGTGAGTGCTTGTGTTTGTGTGTGTGTGTGTGTGTGTGTGTGTGTGTGTGTGTGTGCGTGTGTGTGTGTGTGCGTGTGTGTGTTTTGACTATAAAGTCTACCATGTAAAATTGCTTCAGTATGCCTCTGCAGGCTCCGTCATGGTCTTCAAGTTTCTGTTCTTTCAATCCGTGTCTGTGATCCATGTCTATAGATGTATCAGGTCATGTCAGTGTTCCCTATGTTTTGTTTGAATCAAGTTGGTAAACTAAAACAAAATGTTTTCTGTTGGACATTTGTTGTTGTATTTTATGAGGTTTCATTTTGCCCTGGTTAGAAATGGTCAGCGGTTAAAGACACTGTCATTGTGTATGGTAACAGTGAGTGAACATATGCTTGGGAGGGGGGGTAGATGTTGCCTTCATGAGTTCCGTCTTTTGAGAAAGAAATGTTGAAGAGAAATTTGGACAATATGTTGAGCAAGTGAATGTTTTTGTTCCCTGTTTATAAGATTTCTCCCTTGTTCTGTGCCAGGTACACGCCACAAACACGGAGAACTTCCTGGAGAACAGAACTCTGTCAGCGGCCGTCGTGAAAGGTGCGGAAGATTTGGTTGTTTCCCTCAGGAGTGGACATATGGATTGGGGAAGGGGAATCTGTTTGGCAGAAGAAGAATCTTTTATAAGATTATATAGGGCACCGGTGAAACATTAACTCTTTATCTCCGACAAGTCGCTCCCCGTGGCTCGCGGTAGGAACCACTGTGTCGGGGAGTCGCTGACAGCAGCTCGGGCACTTTCCTTTACGACGACTTCTACATCTAATTACTTTTCAGCAATTGCCAAAGACAGGTTTCTTTTACCGGAAGTTCCTCCATTAGATACAGTACCATCATAATAGGTTCGCTAGTTTTGATTTAACGACTCTTTTAGTGACTTTTTATCCTTTTTAAATTTAGTACCAGAAAAGAGCTCTGGCGTAGTGGGTTTACCCCCCTTGGAGATAAAGAGTTACGCCTAGTCTTGTATCGTAGCACCAACATACTTCTTTGTTCCAGAGGCACTGGACATCTTGCGAGAAGAGCTGCAACCAGAGTACGATCAGACGCTCGCGTCACCGAAGTACAGACGGGAATTGTCTGGTTCTCTACTCTATAAGGTGAGTTTGTCCAGTAGGCCTATGACCCTTTCTCTACTCTATAAGGTGAGTTTGTCCAGTAGGCCTATGACCCTTTCTCTACTCTATAAGATGAGTTTGTCCAGTAGGCCTATGACCCTTTCTCTACTCTATAAGCTTAGTTTGTTCATGGCATATGAATCATTCTCTACTCCTTAAGGTGAGTTTGTTCACGGGATAGGAGAGAGGCATTTTGTCAAGTGGTCAGCTTGCTTTCAGCGTGACCCATTCCCTACTCTGGTGTTATATTGAAGCTCATTGGATACATCACCATGGTCTACACTGTAATCTAACAGTTTGCATTTTAATGTTTCATGCTTTCAATTCTTTAAAAAGCAAACAAAAAAAGCTGTGTTTTTAAGGAGAATATTTTAGCGTTTCCTCATTACTTAAATGTGTAAAAAAAAATATTAAAAAAAGAAACGTGGTGGGGAAATGTGGAGTAGGCTGCAGATGTGTGGAAATCTGCAATATGTCACAGGTAACATCTTGTTTCACAGAAGAACACAATGTATTCATATTGGGTGACCACTCAGTAATTTTGTAAGAATGAAAATTTAGAAACGTATTTAGTTCTATTAAGTCTTTCTTGTCTGGTTTTTATTTTTAGGTTCTCCTGGGTATTTACAAGCCCGATGACCCCCGGTTGAGGTCAGGGCCCGACCACCTGCACCGACCCATCTCCTCCGGTCTGCAGACATACCAGGAAATCAAGACGGAGTTCCCGCTCAAAGAAGCCATGCCCAAAGTCACCGCACCTCTCCAGGTTTGCCTCCCTTAGATCAGTTTGAGAAGTAGTGAAACTGGATGTACTGTTTTGTTTGATCCTTTGGAAATATGTGAGGCAGTGTAGTGAAATCAGGCGCTCGTCAAATAATCAAAGTGAAGAGACTGGGATTTTTCTGCAGGTTTGGGAATTTTTATATAATTTGTGTTTTTTAACTCAGCATCTCCCACATCCATTAAAGAACACATAGCTTTGTGGATCGTACTGAAAAACATCAATTAAAGGTGTAAAAAGTGTTAATTCACAGTTTCCATGGACTCTCAAGTTAAGTAAATAACTAAACTTTGGCGGCGATTTTCTCGTTAATTTTACCTCTGAGACCAGGCGACCCCTACCTATTTCAATCGCAAATATTTCAATTTGAATTCGAGAGAAACGTATATTTTTTTCATTGAAAGCAAGACAAATGGAAAAGCTTTAAGGTGATTCCAATAACTCCACGTGCCCAAAAATTGATGAGCGCCTGATTCCACTGCGTCGTGACACATATTCTTTTTGGGTTCCCATTCTTTTTTCATTTTCAGTTTGCAAATACATTCATTTAGTTCTGCTCTGATGCAATATACAAACTCTTTCTGCAGTGTACAAAACATTTTTGGCTCTAATATTTATAGTAACTTCTTATGCCGAAGCATTCAATAAAGTATTTTCTCTTGATGAAAAGTAAACCAATGTCTTTTGCGTGGAGGGGGAGAGGCCTAAAGATTATTTACTGCACCCTCTCATTAAATTACTCTGATATAATGCAGCGTTTGACAGATTTCAGCTGTGTATTTCCCATTCCAGGCGTCGGGGGAAGCTCAGTTTGTGAACGACATCCCAACCTTCCAGCAAGAACTGTTCGGGGCGTACGTTCTCTCCGACCAGGCATCAGCGATGCTGGACGCGACGGACGCCTCAGAGGCTCTGGTGAGTAGACCTTATCTCTCTGATGTAACCTGTCTAGTGAGTAGACCACATCTCTCTGATGTAACCTGTCTGGTGAGTAGACCGCATCTCTCTGATGTAACCTGTCTGGTGAGTAGACCGCATCTCTCTGATGTAAACTCTCTGGTGAGTAGACCGCAGCTCTCTGATGTAAACTCTCTGGTGAGTAGACCGCATCTCTTTGATGTAAACTGTCTTGTGAGTAGACTGAATTGCTGTAACGTAAACTGCCTTAGCTTTATAACATAACATCGTGAGACATCGTGGTAAAATAACGAAATATCGAAGAAAATGGCCTTTTTCTTCCTGCATGGCAATTTTAATTGATTTTTGTTTTTTAGATCAAAACCTTTTATGTCCTTTTAAGAACAGAAATTCCTGAGTGGATTTTACGGAATAACGTTGATTAAAGTCACCAAACTTTGGCTGCAATTTTCTCGCTACTTTTAACTCTGAAACCTGATTACGCCCTCTTCCTTCAATCCAAAATGTCTAAATTTCTATTGAAGATAAATGGGCACTTTTGTCACTGAAACAAGGCAAATGAACAAGATTTAAGATGATACCAATAACTCAATATGCCCAAAATTGAGGAGCGGCTGATTCCACCACGTCGTGACACAAAAAGAAACACTGGTGAACCCATGCAGGGGTTCAGAGATATGAGGCTCTGCTCTGTCTAACTTTGTGTCTGTTGAAAAAGTATTTTACACTTAATTCCCCTTTTGGCCTAGTCCTTTCAGAGATGGATGTTATAGTCAGAGATCCCATGGGTCAAATAACCTCACAGTGTTGAGTGCAGCCTTTTCTGTAAGGTAGAATTAGGTAATCAAGTACAAAATGTAATACATGATGCGCTTATTCATCCAAGTCATGAAGTGGCATCTAGCATTGAAAAAAAAGTGTTTTTTTAACTGTAAATTCACAACAAAAATTAACTCTTCTAGACTGAGAATACTGGAGTAGCTTGACTTCTGATAGCGGCTAGTTTCTGCCTGTGCTCACCTCTTGATGGTTTGGTGTGTTTAAAGTTGTCCCACTTTCGTGTGCTCTGGGGAATTGATAGTAGTTGCCGTCAAAACAGAAAAAACAATTTTCTGCACAAATTAACGAGCATTGGCAATAGCTGATAAATGTATTTTCTTAGAGTCACCATTTAGAAAAAACTGTATAAAATCCACATTCATCCCCTAACTACATTCTTATTTTTTATTTATCTTCATTTTGTTGATACTTTTTATTCAACTTTCTCATTCTCAAGATAGGCAGAGCATATTTAAAGAGCTTTCCATGAAAGTGAAGTTATTTTTTTTTGTGGGCTAAATTTTTTCAAAATCTAATCACAATGACACTTATATTCCACTGACAAAAATAATTATAAAATGAGAAAATACAGACACTATTATTATGAAAAATGTCCAGACTTACTATGATATTTGAACCCTGTACCGTATTAAAATTTCATGATCAAATTTTCTTTTCAGAAAATACCAGGAGTGGTAGCATTTTTAACGGCCAAAGACATTCCAGAGGGTGGCACCAACAATTACCTGACCTCCTTCGGCATGCATCAGTTCCAACAACATCAGGAGGTCGGTAGAAATTCAGCATTTTTTTATGTTGTCATTTTAAGCCCTACATCAACACAGTTTAGATCATTAAGGAGGTGGCCTTTGACCCTGCCTGTCAGGGCCAACGAGGACTCAGAGGGATACAACATCCCAGCAGAAAGACCAAAGATACTTTGATAAAACTTTGCCCACCTCGCTCCCTCAGTTTGAAACTCTCTTCCCCATCCCTTGAGACATACAACATCCCAGCAGACTGACCAAAGATACTTTGATAAAACTTCTCCCCACACGGGAATCAGACTCCGATCTCCTGTATGTGTCCACTGTACCACAGGAAGTCTTGAGACTTTCTTCCTCCTATATGGAATAGCACCACTGATTTACTATTGTTATTTGATTGGTAGAGTCTTTTTGTTGTCATAATGAAAGAGTCAGGAGATACAGCTAGTTTGTCTCATGTAGGCCTATGGCCTAATTTTGTTTAAAATTATTTTTGTTTTTTGTTTTTTGTTTTTTTTAGCAGGAAATTGGCACCAGCACAAGAAGAAACTCTTGCACTAAATTGTCTTATAAAATTTCTCTGTTTAACACTCTGCCGTCACATCTCACCGATCAGCGATGTTTACCACGCAGTTTCTTTGGATTTTCCCCCAAATGCCTTTGCCTTTGATGGCACGGGTTTTTACTGTATGAATGAACCTTGTGATGGCAAAGTGGTAAAATCAGAGTTAAGGAAAGCTTTTCAAGTTCAACTCAGCTTTCCAATGACTTGGATGGTTATGAACAAATGTGAGGAGGAAGCTTCCACAGTAAATGCTCAGTGGTCGCATTGTTTTAGACGGTTGTTGAAAGGTGGTGGTTCTCTCAGGAGGGTGGTTCTTGTTTGTGGCTGGTTCACTTTTGTGGTTGGTTTATTTTCGTGGTTCATGCTGGTAGATGGTTCACAATACTGGATGATTCTTGCTTGTAATAATATTATTACTTTCTAAATATCGTCTTTAATGTTCAGTACTTATATGTTTATATATCCTATTTGTGTTACAAGTGCTTTGAAATCTTACTAAAATCGAAAACTAAAACACAGAATCTTTATGGTGTGGAGAGGGACAGTTTATTTAGAATACACACAGGGGCTGGACAGAAATGACTGCAGTGTGAAAGAGTAGTGGAAAGCAGAAGAAGAGAAACTCTCTCATTTCATGGACATGGTCACGCACACTGTGCGACTTACTTTAGAACCACTGTCAACGTGCAAACTTTCCAACAGCTTTAAGATCCCATCGGCATGTTGAAAATGTCAAATACAAATGGCCTCTAGGATTAAGCTAATTTCTATTATTTTTATTTCTATTTTTGTAAACAGATTTTTGCCAGCAAGGAAATCAGTTTTGCTGGCCAGCCAGTTGGGATGATTGTTGCTGGTAAGTTGCTCGGACGTCTGCATCTCTTTTGGTTTTTTGTTTACTAGAACAAAGAGCTGCGTTGTTTCCTGAATGTGTTTAGGTTTTACTGGCCAGCCAGTTGGGATGATTGTTGCTGGTAAGTTGCTCGGACGTCTGCATCTCTTTTGGTTTTTTGTTTACTAGAACAAAGAGCTGCGTTGTTTCCTGAATGTGTTTAGGTTTACTAGAACAAAGAGCTGTGTTGTTTCATGAATGTGTTTAGGTTTACTAGAACAAAGAGCTGCGTTGTTTCATGAATGTGTTTAGGTTTACTAGAACAAAGAGCTGTGTTGTTTCATGAATGTGTTTAGGTTTTTCTCTCAGAAAGAACGAAGCGGCATAGTTTCGGGAACATGTTTAGTCCACATAAAGCAGTTGAAAGTGCACGCTATCTTGTATGAGAGCTATCCAGTGGAGCGTCCTCATTTTGACTGGGATACGTGTAAACAAACACATTCAGCAGGACAGTAGGATTCACCTCATTTAACTTACCTCATTGGGGAGGCACATTTTCTCACTTAAAGAAGGACTTTTGTGGAGTATTTTAATAAAAGATGCTCAACTTTATTATTCAATCAACTTTTTTAAAATATAAAAATGTTTAAAGGCTGGCAACATAATATCATGCATACCATGAAATATTTAAATTTGTCTTTGTCAATTGTGTATTATGGTGTTTCAAAATGTGCCTCAACATTGCCATATTGGTTCTCTACAAGCAGAACATTTCTGTCCGCTATCTCCTCGAAAAGTCAAAAATTAATTAAGCATGTAAACTGTTATTTTCCAACTCACTAGCACCTTGACACAAATACTTGTTTTTAAAGATCAATTTGAGTTTGTACTTATGAGGTGGGTTTTTTTAGTTTTATAATCTGTATAATTTGATCTCAGAAACCCAGAGCCTGGCGAATGCCGCAGCCCAGAAAGTAAAGATGACGTACTCGGACATCCAAACTCCGATTCTGTCTGTCGAGGAGAGTATTGCCGCCGGCAGGGAGTATCCTTTCCCACAGAGCGAGAAGATTGTAGGAGAGCCTGACGGTATGTCAAACAACTTGTCTAATGAATAATTCGTAAGAAGAATGCTGTACATACGAGCATATTCTTTTCTACGTTTTTATGTCCTTGGTATAAACGTGGAGTGTTGAGGACTAATCACATTATGACCCATCAACCAACCGCATCATGGTTTATTTTAGATTGGAACACTACGTGGAGTCCAAAGTGCCCCCACCACTCCACAAACCTTTTCAATAGGAGCAGAGGTGTTGAGGAGAGAGGGCTAGGGATGAGATTATAGTTTGAAAGGAAAGGAGGAGAATGTGTCCATGTATATTTGACTGAAGAACACACGCTGCATTCTTTTTGTACATACAGTCGAAACTGTCTAAATACACCACCCATAGCTACATGAGAAAAGTGCTTGTTTGAGACAGGTAGAGATCTTGAACAATGTTTCATAAGAAGAATGCTGTACATAAGAGCGCATTCTCTTCTACATTTTTATTTCCAAGGTATAAACTTGTGGGGTGTTGTGGATGATAGGATTCTTAATTTCCAGGGTATTTTAGAGTCAACAGGTTCTATTTTGGCATCATTTTTATCCTTTTTGTTACTTACAATCCTTAGAAATCCAAAATGGCCAAGCAAGAAAATTAAAAAATGCTTAAACTGTTATTAACATGAAAAAGTTAATTTTAGAATTTTAAAATAAAACTGTGTTGAATATTTTACAACAGTCTCTACTAGCCAGGGTCATGCATATTGCACAGGAACGGAACATGTGTATGGAAGAGCCCTTATTCAGTGATACTTAACCTCATGTTGAAAACATTGAGTAGATCTGACTGTGCAAGATTTTTACCAAAAATGTAGATGTTCCTGCAGCAGTGATTTTAATACATCCAACAAGTCTGTCATATTCGAAAAGTTTTCTGGACCATTCTAAGCAATCAAGCTATATCACCCATCACAAAATTTTCCTGTTTCGTATCGACTGAGCCACCGCATCGCATGACTCATCTGTTCCCCAGAGGCATGGAAGTCTGTGGAGCACACGATAGAAGGAGAGTGTAGGATGGGATCACAGTACCACTACTATCTGGAGACACAGGTAAGTCAAGAAAACATTCTCTGTCTCTGTCACCATGGTATTGGGTGTAAACACAGGTGGTAAGTCCAGATGCCAACATGCTAGAAGTAAAAAGAACCCAGGTATAGAAAGATAAGCTCATGAACAGTGAGTGCTAGTGTGTGCTCATCATTGCCTCAAGATTATTTTCTGACTCGCACTGCATGGTAAATACAGAGAGATTAAATCTTTTAAGGCAATTTTTTTTATCAGCTCAAGCCATTTCTGTATTTAGATTAAAGAAATATGTATATATATTTATACCAAGATATATGTATATATATATATACCTAATTTTTTAGTCAGAATACAATCCACATTGTACTGTTTATGTGTTGCACTTGTATTTGTGGGGTTGAGCATTATATATATATATTATGTCATATATCACCATCATTATAATCATTATTGCTATCATTATCTTTATTAATTATAATTATTTTTATTATTATCATTATCATTTTCTGTTGTCATTATTACTGTTTGTTATTTGCCAATGTTCCTCTGTAGGTGTCGCTGGCGGTTCCCTCAGAGGACGGTATCGACGTGTACACAGCGTGCCAGTTCCCGTCCATGAACCACATCATCGCCGCAGAGGTCATTGGGAAGCCTCTCAACTTGTACGTTTTTTTATCTCAACTTGTACGTTTTTTTATCTCAACGTGTACGTTTTTTTTATCTCAACTTGTACGTTTTTTTATCTCAACTTGTACGTTTTTTTATCTCAACTTGTACGTTTTTTTATCT